TCCTCAACCTTCAATTTAATTTCTCTCTTCTTTGATAATCATAGCTAGAAGGGCAATATTGGAGGTAGGGCCCCATTTCTGAGTTTTTTGTACACATGCCATGTGGAAAATCTAGAAGGACAATGACTTTTAGTTCATTACTTGAATTTAGAATATATTTGTAAGTAAAGCCAGAGTTGGATATTCAATTGCACACCCTAATCCTGCAGCAAAGTTCTGATTTTCAAGAGTGTAAGAACGATCTAAAATAGTATTCTGAGCTCATTCCCATTTTTCAGCCAATTCAAGTAATGAGCAATGGATAATATAGGATCACCTTATGACCGTCTTCTGAGCCCTGGAACTCTTTTATGGGTTCTGTACTCCAGGAACTGCCCCATGTGAAGTTGAAGCTATGCCATTATGGTTTAGATCTACAATACCCCCCAAATTTTTCAAGTGTGTGGAAAGTAATTCTATCTTGAGGGTACTATATTCATTAGTGGATTCATCCCATTGTTGAGTTCATTAGCTAAAGGCTCTGTTAGGAGGTGGGGCCTGGTTGGAGAAGGGAGATTGTGCCCTGAGGACATGACTTGGAAGGGTATATTCTTTTCCTAGTTCTTCCTTTCTTTCTCTGCTTCTTGACTGCCATAAGATAAGCAGTTTTCTTCAACCCTGACCCTTCCACTGTTCTGTTTCTACCTTGGAGCCACTGGACAATGGACAGAAACTGTGAGCCAAAATAAATCTCTGCTCCTTTAAGTTCCAAGTGTTGGGTACTGTGTCTTAGCCATGAGAAACTGACTGAGACACATGGTGACTGATGGCGATAAACCCAACAGACTGGAAAAGGTAATCTTCCTCTGTGCCACTGACCCTCACTTTGGATGATTAAAAGAAACTTGGTGTCCCTGTGAGCAGACCTACTAAATTCAATCCACTTCAACTTGATTATAACAATTTACTGTGTTGGTAAGTATGTATTGCTCGAATTAGGTATGTTCTGGGCTACACTGTCCAACACAATAATCATTATTCTATATGCAGTTATTGAACACTTGAAATGGGGATAGTTAAAACTGCAATTCAATCAAAGTATAAAATATACACCAGATTTTGAAGAGTTAGTACAAAGTAGGATGTAAACTATCTTACTAGTATTTTTCCAGGAATTTAGCTCAGTGATGCCACTGCCCACCTTGAAAGCACAAGGTCCGAGAGTTTGATTCCCATACCAAAAAAAAAATTCTTTCATGTTCACATTGATCACCTGTTGAAATGATAGTATTTTGGATGCATTGTTTAAATATAATATAGTAAATAACTTTTACCTTTTTATTTTTTTCCTTTTAAATAATTTAGCTTCTAGAAAATTTAGAATTACTTCTGTGGCTCATAGATTTATGGGTTGCATTCTATTTCTAGTAGACAGAGGTACTCTAGGGTACTTGGGGTGGGTTAGTAGTAAGTAGTAAGGTTAGTGGGAGCTCAGCAAGTATCCAAATAGTATTATAGGCTGGTGAATTTCACCAGTAGCATCTTCTTAGGGGCATCAAACCAAAACCACTCACACAAATCTCCTGGTTCTGAAAACAGGAAAAGACTACTGGGGAGTATGTAACCTGATTCTTAATCCCATACCCACCTTCCATCTCCTCCAGTGTTATATAGTTTAGTAGGATATACACATTTCTCTTGTTGGTGCAAACAGATTAATTATGTGGAAATATTGAAACAAACAAAAAACCCTATTGGCTTCATTCTCACTTGGGCTTGATAGAATCTAGCTCAAAAATAATAATCAATTTTGATAGTATGGCTCTTTGCAAAAAGGACTAAAATAATAATACTTGACAGATATCTCCAGTTAAACCTAGAATATCAGGGCGTCGTCTGTGGCGGTGGTGGTAATCGATGAAAACAAAAACTGACTTATTTGAAGTGGTATCTGTAGGCGGCACATGGGAGTGACGGTGGTGCCCCCAAGAATGTGGAAAGAAAGGTAATATAATTACTTTGTGAGAGCTGACTGTGAAAATCATGCAAAAAACCTAAAAAGCAGAGACTCAAATTGAAATACTGAGGGGTCTACACATTAAATTTTCCATCTGTAAGAAGCATCCAGAATTCTATTCCAGCTCCTTTTTGCTATGTGGACTCACTTTATCAGATCTGACTTTTGGAGATATTCAGATTTTTTTCCAGTACTGAAGATTGAATACAGGACCTTGCACACGGTAGGGATGCCTAGATTTTTAAATTCTGGTGACTAATATTTTTTAAATGAATACCATTGAACTCAACCAAATGACTCTACTCTTAAATTCAGCAATTCTTTTTGTTTTGTTTCTGTATTTACTTCTATATGAACAATGTTTTGATCCTATTTTTAATAAAAATCTAACCACACTGAGATAATTAAGTACCATTTACAGACACTATCACATGCCAGGTACTCATCCCTTGAACCCTGTTGCAAAGGGAACCTAAGCAACTCCCCAGTCCTGGAGCTAGGTCAGTGATGCCACTGGGGTTTTGTCTCAGGTTCCTCTTTCCAGAGCCTCTGCTTTCTCACTCAAGGCACCTGAGATCTGGCTGCAGTTTTGCTGAAAGAAAGGGTTTCAGGATTTTCCAGTAAAGGCAGATTTTCACTGATATGCAACCTACTGGTATACCTAGTTTCACCACCCTCTGTCAACTCCTGTAAGTCCTGAGCTCAGTATGAAATTTGGATCATTGTGATAGTTGTATCTGTCAATGTGAAGTAGTCAATTGACATGCTAATAATCTAACTCTGTGAGTTTGGTCAATCCAAGTCCATCCCAGAGATCAACAACAACAACAACAAATAACACTAACTAAATCAGTTCCTTGGCTTGAGAGGCTGGTGGCCAGATCCAAGGTTGGTGTTAAGTTCATTACTTTCTGATAGAGAGCACCTGGCATCTACCAAAAATCCCACCTGTGTAACAACTTCACCAGAATATCCTATTGTCAGTAAATTGTAAATTTTATTCTTTATAAGTTTATATTAACAGAAAACAAATTCTCCACAAAAGCTAGTTTCACTGTGGAAAAGAAACCTAACCTAATCAGCACATATACCATTCTGTGCAGCTGAATGTAGTTACTTGTTCTGACTTGGGCTGCATGAATCTCCTGCTTAAAGTTAGATTCCTCTTAAGAAAATGGCTGCTTTCCTTAAGTACTTTGATCTATTTACCATTTCACAATGAAAATGTGTCTTAAAATCTCTTTCTGACTGAAATATTTAAACACAATTAGAAACCCGAAATGGAGGCTCTGGATGGACTAAACTGGCAGGCAAAACCAATAGACTTGATAAAGGAAGTGAACAAGTTTGTTCAAGTGGGCATGGAAGTGATCAAATACTGTAAGTGAAAGTGGACAGAAAGGTCAACCTTGTGCTGACCAAGAAAAATGACAGTATTCACAGCAGTTCATCAGCCACATGGTTGGACAACCTAAAGTCATACCTCTGGATGGGAGGGTGTTGTGCTCATAAAAAATGAGCACATCATTTGAATGAGTTGTTTGGCTCTTAAATTGTAGTTTAATTGTAGCCATTCTGGACATTGTAGGTTCCTGTTCTCGCTAGAAAGAAATTATAGAAGTAAACAAACAGAGGCAGACTGAGCATATAGTATGGAATCCAAGTGCCAGAACATATTCTCCAGTGATTGCAGCATAAGGTGCTGCATGAGTAGATATTGGAAACACCAGCAAAGCTGCTTAGTCCACAGAAGCAAACCAAGGAAACAGTGCTAAAAAGAAATGGGCCAGGGACCACATACAAATCCCATCTCATGCCTCCACGACCCATGCAGACACACCCAGATGTATGCTTCATTAATCCTCTGGGGGCTCCAAAGCCCAACAAGCTGACAAACCTAACTGTTACAAAATTAAAATAAGATGGAATTCACAGCTCATCTGGACAATACATGCTAAGATACTGTCTCGGTGTCCATGGAATTTAAAAGGTTCTCTTTTACCACCAGTGGATCTTGACTTACTCTCCTTGGTAAGAAACTAAAAATGAGGCCCTCTGACCCCCTGATATTTGGAGATAGCTATTGTCATGATTTCATATCAGAGTAATTTTTTCAAATCACCAGAGATAGTAACCCTTGGCAACAAGAGATGACTTGTTGGGGGAGGGAGAAAAAAGTTCTAGGCTCTATCAGCTTTTATGCTAGAGATTCACTTTTCCTTTGGCATTTCTCTGAGCCCTCCTGAAACTAAGACCTTACTTATACCTCTAGACTTTGGTTTTTGTTTTTGTTTTTTTCTTGGTACCAGGTATCGAACTCAGGACCTTGCACTTTCGAGGCAGGCATTGGAACCTGTAGACTTTGGAAAACTTACATTAAACATGTCATCTGGAGTCAAACTGTATCAAGAAAATGGAAGTTTTAGGTGTGTATTCACAATTAGGATTCAATGTTTCTTTTCCATTAGTCCTTATATATCGGATGATTATTGTGAAGAGTTTACATGTATTGAACTATTTAATCACCACAACCTTCCCGTAAGTTTGATTATCTCATTTTACAGGTGAGGAAATTGAGCACAAATAAGCTATATAACTTGTTCTAGATACAAAGGTTACTAAGTTTTATATTGGGATTAGAAACCAAGCAACTTCACTACAAAATGCATCTTGAAAACACTAGACAGCATCATGTTAGACAAAAAGCTTTTTTGAGAAGAATAGTCTAGGAGAAGCAGAATTTAAATTCTGTTACGAAGTCCAGAGGCATGTGGAATATTCAAGATCTATAGCATTTGTAGCCTTGGGACCTGACAGATGAACAGTGAGAATTGCTTTTCTCTGGTCTTTTAGCAAAGAATAAGGTGTTCAGGAGGTTTTGGGAAATTATTAGATTTTAATATCTAATTAGGCAAGACACTCCTTCCTTTGCAGCTACTGAAAAAAGCACATGGAAATAGAGGCAGAACTTATTTCTAAGCAGCATAGAAACCACCTTCCTCACCATATTTCAAGTTCCAGATTGGTGCTGTTGATGTCTGGGTCATCGAAAGCACAGGTCAGTGAGTGCTGGGATCCATCCACTTCCAACTGAGCATAGCAGGAGAATGAGTAGTCTGTATCTGACTCTGCATCTTCTAAATCTCCTGGGAGGGACAAACATGTAGCTGTTACTGAGATTAAAAAAATGCATCCTTTAAAAATCAGGTGTGACCTTAATAAAATGTCAGATTTGTGGCAGATATGAAGAAGTGATAATATTTTATCTAAAGAAGGGCAAAGACAAGAAAAAAGGTTTCAAAACAAAAACCCAATGTGCAGTTTTCTAACAGAAAAAAGTTCATCATCCTTAATAAATAACTTCAAATATTTATGCCTTTGAATTAGTGCATGAGAGCACTAGAAGGAGGCACTGAACAGAATATTTTATTTAAACTAGAATTTCTTCTGCTATATTTGTCACAGTGAAATGTTTGTACATTTCTAGAAGAAATACTCTACTGTCATAATTTGCATGCTACCTAATTTAACCTTTGACTTCATTACTAGTCTTTATATTTTCTTCCAAGATTTTTTCAAATGAGAGAAAATGATAGCTATGATATAATCAGGAATTCATTTTGTAAGAGATTGCTTTCCCTTGTATAAAAAGGTATCCTATGCAAAGGCAGAATTAATATCTCCATTCTGTGACAGTTTGAAGCAACTTATCTTAAGCCACTGACTTAGGCAAACATGATCAGAAGAATTTGATCCTGTGAATATTATACATACTTTGTCCTTATAGATTCTTATTTTATAGATACTATTTCTTATAGATAATGGTGGTATTCTGGAATAAGGTGGGGAACTAGATTTTTTTGAAGTCACTTTTGGAAAGTACAATTTATCACAGATAGTATTTGATTTTTAAACTTGTAGACCTTATAGTTAAAGAAATACTTTGTATGCATATTTCACAATATTCAATAGAAAAGTGAGACTGAAACAAGTCTATCAGCAAATACACTACAACTGGGCCCTGGGGAAATTCATAGCAATTAGATTCATTCTGAAACTGCAGAGTGTGAGCCTCTCACTGCTTCCAGGTATTTTAACCCATCAGTACCTGAAATTTGATGCTTCTATGACTTTAAAATGGATATGAGACATGCTAAAATCGAAGCCCCAGTGAATGTTGCAGAGGCCATAGATAGTCCAAACTGCATTCTCTATTGAAGTAGCCTGGTAGGTCTGTGGGAAAGTTAATGAACTGTTGGTAAATGGGCCAACCACTTGAGTGACAAGCGGGTTCAATCAAAGCAGCACATCTGTAACAACTCAGCTAGATCAGAGTGTAGGCTCTACTCACAACACAGACATTTGTCTTTCTTACCATTCCCAGACTCCACCTAGCTCCTGATTCTCCCACCAGCAAGGCTCCCCATGTCATTTCAGCAGAGTACAGCCCTCTCCCTGATGACAATGTTAACATGAAACACACAGAAATTTAGCGCTTGGCCTTAAGTCATGTTTATTTGTAAGTTCGTAGATTTAGGTCTTTTCTTCTAAGAGATGACATCTTTCTGAACACAACAGTTCCGAGTGGGTTAAGCCTCCTTTATATGGTAATTTTCACATTGCCTCGAACTTTCCTCTACTTTGGACCTTCCACCAACCCTATATAACAAAACATACATTACTGTCTAGATTCAGACATCTTGTGGGTCAGCAATGTCTCTAATTTTCTAATACACAATGCAAGCTAGACAGAAGACACTCTTATAAATGCCAGGTGCCAGGAGAAGAAACTCCCACCAATAGCCCTCCAATCTGGCAAGGTATGTTTGTTGCATAATCTCACACAGTAGGTAAATCACTGTGCCTTCAACTTTTCCTGCACCTAAGAAAGTAGCTGCATTAAAAAGAAAACAGCTCTTTGGCTCTTTAGTGGGTGTTACTAGGCACAATTGCAAGAAAAGTGAATGTTCTTCTTGATGTGACCTGAAAAATTCTTAGGCAAAAGTAGGGTATACAATGCTTTAGATTTTTGGTGGTGTTAGTAGAGAGATGTGAGTTTAAATTCTGGCTATTCTGCTATAGTTATGGCCCTCTATCAGGTTACTCTTAAGGTTTTCATGTAGAAACTCATATTATTGGAATCGTTGAGTAGATCTATAGAAAATTAGCTTAGAAGACAGCAGACATTCCATGAGGGTAATTTGTGCCTGTCATCACAGTTTTCAAGAAATAAATGATGAAAAAATAGGAATTCTAATTCTGAAATTAGAATGGATATTTGGAGTTCTTTTGAAAAAGAGTTCTATATCAATTGAAGGTATTTTCATATGATTTAAAAGTTACATAGTACTTCTCTTTCTTTTTTAGGTTTTCTGAGACAGGGCCTAACCATGGGGTTCCAACAGGCCTTGAACTCACTATATAGTTCAGGCTGGCCTTGAACTCACAGGGATCCTCCTGCTTTAGCCTCCCAAGTGCTGGGATTACAGGTATACATCACCATGCTCAGTAGCACTTTTCAATAGTGAATTAATCTATAATTTTTAAATGCTCAAGTATTATTATCATTATTTAAATATCTAATGATTTAAATTAAAATTTTCTATAGAAATTTAAATTTTTTGGAATATATTTTATAGGCAAGGCAATGTGGTTTAAAAGACTTCTTTCTACTGAATGGAATTAGTTGATTGAATGGAAATATTTAAATGGTTTGGGTTTTTAAAAAGTGTGCTTTCTTGTCTTTATCAGCCTTGTGGTTATGAGAGAACTAACTTATCTTTCAACAAATAGCAACTGATCATTTTGTAAATTCCTTGTCTCCAAACTGGCAAGTATTTTGATATGATCATGTGGATGAGTGGTTACAGAACTAAAAATATCTGATATTCTAAAAGTTGAAGTGAAAGCCTAGATTTCAGTTAAAATTCTTATTTCTTTTAAAAATTTCATGACCACTAGGAAGAAATAGTGGTAATATATTACACCAAAGACAAGAAAGTTGTCATGTTTCCTGTCATGCCTCTAAGGAAATAGCATAGAATATGATTATCCTTCAAAAAAGTGATTCATACATGGTCATGTGAAAAATGTCATCCCTCTGACAAGTCCCTTAATGAGAAAATGCAAGGGTTTTCCATCACTGGTAACTACTAAGTAAATTGGCTCAAAATATCTAAACTGAGGAAACATGACTAAGGAGACATGACTCAAAATGTCTAAACTGAATCATTAGGCTGATGTGTTGATATTGACTTTTAGGAAAATACATTTTAACTCTTAAAGTGCAGGGGCTGAATTTATAAAAACAAATTGGTAGTCCAAGTTCCTAGGGGCTCCTGCAGCTGCTACATACTTTTGTCTATAGTTAATTGTAATATACTTTATAAGTAACCAGGATCTGCTTCTACATGCTAAGCATTTCAAGCATTTCAAAGAGAATTATTACATATCATACACTTTTGACTATGAAGTAACTGTATGTATTTCAATGAGATAGCTCACTCAACTGTGTTCTGTTATTCACTAAGCATCTCACATGAATCTGCCAAAACTAAAGTATCTTGAAGAAATGTTCACACATTTATTGGATGATTATTATGATCTGGACACTAACTTAAATGCTAGGTGATACAGTACTGATCAATGTAAATGAAACTATTATTTCTGGACATTACTATATCATGAACAAAGTATGCTTTCTTAAAAGGCCAAACCAAACAAATCTAGCTCAATTTCCTGACAAGATAAAATTACCTTAGAGATTTTCCAATGGGCATAATTGCAGCATCTATTCCAGTGTTCTTTTGTAAGACAGAAGCATCAATCAACATTTAAGATCCTCATTTTAAAAGTCCAGTGTACTCCTTCTTGACAATTCTAAGGCATTAGAAGCCACCCACAGTATTGGCCCTGTGCCCTAGGTCAGGCTTTAGAACACACAATTAACTGAATAAACGTTAAGTTCTTGAATTCCATAGCAACCTGGTGGCCAGCTCAGGTCTGTTAGGGAAATGAATAACCTGAAGCATATGCTAGAGATAATCCATTATCCCCCATAAAAAATAAGAAATGACTCACCATTCTGTGCATAGCCACTTTCTCCAGAAACAGTATAAAGTAAATAGAAAACTATAGCAAAAGCTGTACCTAGAATTGTCATTCTGAGAGAGAGAAAGAGAGAGAGAGAGAGAGAGAGAGAGAACTGGAGAGAGCAGAAGTGTGAGCCTGTATGTACAAATGAATGAGAGAGAGAGAGGGAAACTAGCTGTACGGCTAGTTAACCACAAGTGGAGGAAGTATAAACACAGCATATAAGAAGGCAAGTGCCAGAAACAGGAAGTCTGAGTAAAAGTATTACTGCTGTAAGCAGGAGAGGAAATGAAGAGATAGAACAAATTAAATTATTCTACCTCTCTGCTCAGACCTTGAAATCACTGTGCTTACTGTGGAATAAGATTGTAGATTTTATATCAATGTTCAAGTAATCTCAGGCTAGGGCCCAATTTAAAAGGATCACAAGACAAAAATTTTAACTTAACAAGCTAATAAATTGTTTATTTGGGGTGAGTTTTGCTTTACAGAAAGATTCTATACTTTGCAACTTATTGTAAGGTTTCTTCTTTTTCAGTTTTTATTTTTTGTTAGTACATGTTTGTAGTACATAATGATCACATTTCTCGTAGGGAGTTGATACAGGTACATAGCACATCTTAATTCTTTTTCCATCTTATTCCTCTTCCCTCCCTTCTCCTTCCCTCAGAAAGTTAATTTTTAATAGTTTACTTGGTACTTCTTAGTTTCCATAGTACCAGTTTTTTTTTTTGTTTTCCTGGATATTTTCCTACCACTTATCCTTACCTCATTCATCATGGTAGGCATTCAAGAATCATTTATGTTTAATGCAGGTATTGGCAAGCTGAGCTAGAGACCAAATTTGCCCAAATCTTCTGTTTGTATAAATGTTTTATTGGAACATGGTCTCACCTATTTTTTGTGTGTAGTCCACAGGTGCTTTCTTGCAGCAATGGAAGAGCTAAGTAGATGAGATAGATACTATATGATGCAAAAATAGTAAAATCATTACTACCTGATTCTATGTAGAAAGCCTGTTGATCTTCTGTTTAAAAGATAGAACAGATATTTTCTTCCTGTATTTTAATAGGATTTTATTTGTGAAAATCTGATTGCCACTCAACTTCTCAGAAATATAGGGTACACACAAACTATGCTGGTACTTATGTATACAGACATACACCTGACACAATGACACAGGTAATTCAGATTATCTCTAAACTTGTGTGCCAGTCAAAATTATTTCCAACATGGCTTCATGGTTAAAATGTTAAACATTTTAACCATGTTTTCCAGGACTGGCTGACTTCTTGATAACTGTTAGATTGCTTTTTAAAGCCATTATCAGTGTTCAAAGGTCCTAGTCTATATTAGTCCTGTCATCAGAGGACAGATAATACCTCTTGTAAGATATAATTCTGCTTAGGTCTTCAAATGAATCATCTAACCTGGATTCCAGCCATAAAGACACACTAGCTTGATTCACAGTGACTCTCTTCTGGAAGAAGCTGCAAGACTGTGATTATAAGGTGATGAGTTTGGAGAATAGGAAAGGCTAGTGAGATGGGAATTTCTGTTCGATTCCTTATTAGTGAGTAGATTGTTACTATGGAACTATAAAATGTAAATTAGTAGAGACGAACAGCATCATTCCTGATTTGGAGCAAATAAAGACCCAATCTGTCTCACCATTATAATTATTGTGACGATTTGGTAAGAGTAGGAGTGTTTGTACAGTCTGGGAACTCCTCATTTTTGAAGCTGATGCAGAGACAAATATGATCTATACCAGTTATAATGCCATTCTTTGAAATACAAACTCAAGGAAGCAAGAGTCCCACTGAAAGGGTCATATTCTATCTCTTCCATCTGTCTGAAACTTCTTTTCACATTCCAAAACACCTCTCAAACTATATAAAGAGAGATGATTTTGTACATCAGGCAATGATTTGTGTTCTCATTACTAATCTTGTTTTGAAAGCTTGGTTAGAAAATCTTAAGCCTTATTCATAAAAATTGGTAGGTTTTGTGCATTGAGCTGAATATCCTTTCTAGAAAGCTGTAATTATAAATTCCCATAAACTAAGCAAATGTTCAAGGAGCAATCACAAGTTATATATATCCACCAACTCAGAGCTCATGAGCTGCTCTCAACTTGTCCCTCCACAGGTGAGTAACTGGGTCATGTCTCTTTAAATTCTCTTGTTTATAATGTAAGTGGACTATCATTTTGATTGTATCTCTTTCCTTTAGTTGTGAAGATGTAAAAGAACAAAGTCAAGACACAATATTTTTGTACAGCATGTGCTAGTTTGCTAGGGGATTTCCACTAGTGTGCTTACCCTCTTTGGGTGAGGTAAGAGACGCTGAAGGACCTTAGTGATAAACTAAATAAAGTGTAGGCAATTCAGTGAATAATGAGATATATCACTCATCCTTTAGATATTGTGGGGGAACTATGGTACTTTCTTTCTTCATTCTGATCTTGTTAGTCTTTTGAAACTTATAAAAGCTAAGGAAGAACCGCCTGGTTTCACATAGCCCCCAGATGAAACACATTTACCATTTTGCTTTGTCATCATTGCTTGTAAGACAAGTACAGACAGAGAAGAATAGGATCAAGAAGACTGCAGCAAACCTGGCCCTCCAACTGTGTAATCAGGACCCAAGCATCGGAGAGTGAGTGAACCAAGTTCTTGAGCATGTCTGTTTTCTTGAACCATCCAACTTCTTTTCTCTCATCACTTCCTGTCATCATTACCTTTTCGTGTCCCTCTGAGGGGTGTTATCTTTTTTAGGCTCATGTGTTTTTATGATGTGATGAATCATGAAAAAAGAAAGTCATTTATTGTTTCTCGTATGCAGAGCATACTGATCTCACAAAAAGACTCCCAGTACCACCTGCTCCAGTATCTCCTGTCTTCCTTGTTTTCTGATTTTTCAGGTCATATGTGTAACACACCAAATTTATAAAAATACTTTTCTTTTTAATTAAGTTTAATGGTACAATTTAGATATACAAAATGATCACATTCATCATATGGAATTTGTACCTGTGTGTGATACGTTGTAATTCTTATTTTTTCCCATTCCCCTCCCCTCCTTTCAACCATTCTTCGCCTCTTTATTTTCAAAAGCTTTGTTTCTATTTTGTCTTTCTATTCTAATTTTTTTCCTTTTCCCTTTCTTCCTCCCCCATCCCCAATGCCCCTTCTTTTATTTTATTTTATTATTGCAAAAGCTTACATGGTATTATGGAGTGAGGCCCTGAAGAGTTCAGAGAGCTGAATGTTCAGTGAGATTTCAGATCCTGGAATGAAAAAGTTAGAAGAATATATGTTAACTTTATTTGATTTGTTTTGTTGAGCATTAACCCAGTTAAAGTTTAATCCAGGAAAATCCACACCTTCCATATCTATTTCCTCATTACTAAGAACAACTTTTTGCTGGGAAAACTCAGGCTAGCATTTTCTTACTACTCTGTACCATTTAGACTTATCTCCTAGGATTAAACATTTTATTTCCATCTTTTACAGAAATTATAAATTGAGTGGAACAGATACAAATGCATTATCTCTTTCAGCACGTTGGGGAAAGACAGTTTCCAGAGCAAAAGTAGTCAGTGTTTAGATGAAGTTTATAAAAACACCCTTAAGCATCTAGTAATTGTCTCAAATAAGAATAAATTAAAAGTCACTCACTTTCTGCTTGTATATTGAGAACAATGAAATGAAATACTACCACCAACAATCATAACAGCATATGTTTAAACAGGAATATCCTAGACAAAAAGTTGATTCTTGAAAAAAACTGAAAAATTCCAAACCCCGTTCTATGAAAACTGTGCTAACTACCCCCTTCTACTAACAACTGACCCTCCTTAATTAATGGATCTTTTCCCTTAAAGTGAGAAACAATCTTAGGAGACACTTGTCTCCCTGGGCTTGGGGGTGGGGATGGGGAAAAGCCTGGGCAGTGGAGTGAATGGTGACCCCCAAGAACTATAGACATGAGCATCCAAAAGCATCAAGTAGATGAAGATAGCTGTAGGGGAACCTTATATTACTGGAGTCCCAGACTAATTGCCTTTAGAATTTGATCAGTTTATGCTGAGTCAGTCCCTAGGGTTCAGAGGGGATGACCTAGTATATTGAAGTTTCATTTCCGGGAACACAGAGTTTTCCTTGCCTTGTCTCTTTCATCTTTCTTTCCTCCTTACCCCATAGTGTCACTCCATGTCCTGCTCTTGTTCCCATGGACACAGTTTGAAATGTCACGCTTGTTTTGTCTTTCCATGATTTTAGCTTGTATCTTTGGGTGTAGCAAAAATGGAATCTTTGAGTATGAACTTTTTACTCTTTGATGAAAACATTTTTATCAGAAAGGGAACATTTTGATTTCAAGACATGTTTGGACCTTTGGGGATATTGGCCAAGAAGGGATGAAACATATCTAGAGGACCATTGGTTTAAGAGCCACACTCTTCCCCTGATGACATGACATCACAAAACCACCACTATGTCAAATTCCAGACAAAACAAAGCATTCCCCATGCAGTAAAAGTGAAGAAGGAGAAAATCTCAAATTGATGAGTTTTAACCAAAACATAAGAATTTTATTTAGAATTTTCAAGGTCAAATTTTTTACTGCTGGTAGAATAATAAGTCAAGGTAAAAACAAAATTGGTTTATAGAATTAAAAGATCACATTTCTTGTACACATGAGTTTTTCCGCAGTTGGAAAAACAGTGCATTTTTTATATTGCCATGGAACAAGTCAACTTCAGTAAAAAGAATTAGGAACTCAGAGCTCAAGTGAGTTCAGCTGAAAAAAATCTCTTATTTTACAGATGTTCTCACAGAGCCACACTAATTCTAGGTAACATTCTACTTCATCTACTTGCAGCAGTTCCAAAAGATCTATCTACAAAGCTGTACCATGACTTCTGAGACCCATTCTGTGGGCAAGCAGGTAATAGCTTTAAGGCTCACTGTGCTTCTTTCTCTGTAGCAAGAAGGGGTACATCTTGTGGATGATTCCTTCAAAGCAGCAACCACTGAAAAAGGATGTCAAATGGACTTCCTACCTAAAATAGAAGATATAGAGATGCACTGGCTTGGCAAGAAACAGGGGAGGCACATGATTTTGTGAATTTTTTTCCATAAAGTTGATGGAACTTTGATGGAGGGTGTATACAAAATTGGCATGTCCATTTGTGCTCTCACTTGGGGCCCACATATAGGAGGGCAGCCAAGGGTTCCTGCACAATAGTCCACAAAATTTGCTATCCAATTTCTAAGGAGAAGAAGTAGTGCTTTCCCCAAATTCCTAAGAGTCTATGATCTTAAAGTTGTTTAAAAACAAGTTTCCATCTGGCTTGAAGTATG